TTAAAGTTTTTTTATTTTTTATAGATTTAATTGATAAATATTAATTTCTATATATAGATATCTATAATTTAAAATTAGTTATTTAGTATCAGAAGCATTTGAGAGTCGATTTTTGAATTTTGACTCCAAAATTTCATAGTTAGTAAAGATTGGGACTTCGATTTTGAACGCTTCTCAATTTTTTAGCGTCTGGATTTTATGTTTTTTATTATTTTAAAAATATATAAAATGTTAAAAAAAATTTTAACTACAGCTACAGCCAAGTATTATTAACCTTACACATTTAATCTTAGTTCGAGTCATTTACAACCTTATTTAAGATATAAAATATACAACGCATATAAATTGCAACACAATCATATTTTTTTATTATTACAAACCCTTCTGTTTTTTGAGGTCCTCTTATTGTCCCAAAACTCGGTAGAAAATTTTCCGCAAGAACTTTTTTAAAGTGAACGGTGATCGTTAGTTGTGACTAAAAAGAGATGAACTTTGCACTCTCTATTCCAACCGAGTGTTCGTTCATATCTAGTCCACATCCAAAACATCAAAGTTGAAATGGATTTCTCATTAGTCAATCAGGAAATTGTATGGGTTTTGAGGATATTAGTAAGTGTTATTTTTAATTTCAAAAATAGAAGTGTGAACATGAATGATTTTGTTGATATGAGTGATTTTATTGATATGAGTAGAATGAGTTTAGTTTTTTTTTAAATGAGTTTTTAAATTTAAATTTTGTGAATGAAAAAATAAATTTTAAAAAAATTTCTTTTCAAATAAAATTTGATACGATTTGATTTTGAATTAGTTAAAATTTAATACAATCATTAAAAATAAGAAATGTGAACAAAAAGTATTTTTGTCAGATTTGCTTTAGATATGAAATCTACCTCCACAAATAAAAAAAGATTTGGTCACTTGGCTTTTGGGATGTTCACGATAAAGCAATGCATAAATTAATTTGGAATGGATTTATTTGAATTCTGAAAGAATATGAACGGTACTTTGACAATTGAAAAGAGTACGTGTGGCGCTGCAGGAGGAAGAGTAGGAAACCAGAATCTGAAACCACGTCCAATTTGAAAGCCCATTTCACACTTGAGATGAAGACCATCTGACTATTGGTTGGTCATGGAGACAAAATCTACCATGCGGTCTTAAAGTTTCTTTTTTTTTTTTTTGAAAATGGTCTTAAAGTATTAAGAAAGGTGTTGCTTTCGGTTTGCAATGAAAAATAGTAATAAAAGTTTGTTGGACTTCGTTCCTCAGAGTTTAAACTCTAATTTTGCTTTCCATGTACCAAAAAACGAAAAAGAAAAAAATAATAATAAAAATGGTATTTTCAAAGTCAAATTAATAATAGAAGTACGATCTGAATAAAAATTTTATTATAATAGTTTAATAAAATTTTTCTCTATATTATTGTATTTAGTGATAATATTTTAATAATTTCATCATTCATAGGTACATAAAATTTTCATAACAAAATTTCACGTTAAGTTTCTCTTCATATTTTTTATGTAAGCAACTTAAGCATCTTCTAAATTTAAAAACTTGTTTATTTTAATAAAAATTAAAAAATTTACTTGAAAATTTAAGATAAATTCAAAAAGTTAACTTGGGTTTTGTGATTATTGTTTTGGATGGTGATATAAAGATAATTTTTATATCATATTTTTATATAACTTTTACATATTATTAAATAAATTAATATATTTAATATTATAAAATTTAATATTATAAAATTTAAACGAATAAAAAAAATTAATTACTAAAATAATATGTAAAATTATAAAAAAAATATTCATAAATGATTTTCCCTTTGGTTATTGTAATCCAACTCGAGAAACATCTTACTCAAAAAAAAAAAAAATTGTTATCCTTTTGCCCGCCTGCGTTGTGTAAATACACCTACAAAACCCCTCTCATAACGTTTTTGTTTTAAATAAGGAGGATAGAACCAACTGCACCGATTCTGACTCTCAGTTGCAAGTTGCAAGTTGCAAGTTGCAAGTTACAAGTTGCAACCCCTACAATTAACACTTGTTTTCCCAATTTCAGCTGAACCTGAGGTATGAATCTCCTTTCCTCCCATTTCTTTCTCTTCTACAGTTGTTTCTCTCTTGCTTTTGCTTTGAACCCTGATGGACTCACTCTCTTGTCCCTCCTAACCCACTGGACATCTTTGCCCTCTTCCCTAGCCTTATCCTGGAATGCCTCCGACCCAACTCCATGCAATTGGGTTGGGGTAGTATGTAACACCAACCACAACGTTGCCACCCTCAACCTCTCCGGTTATGCCATTTCTGGTCAACTCCCACCAGAAATCGGCCATCTCAGGCAATTACAAACTCTTGACTTGAGCTATAATAATTTCTCTGGTATCATACCCTCCCTTTTGGCCAACTGCACCTCTCTTCAATTACTAGACTTGTCAGTAAACACACTTACTGGACCAATACCTGACCTCAAACGCTTGCAAAATTTGTGGTTCATCAACTTATATTCTAATTTCTTGAGTGGTGAAATCCCGCCATCTTTGTTTCAGTTGGCCCACCTACAGTACCTATATTTGAACACTAACAATTTTAGTGGTTTGATACCTGTGAGTGTTGGGAACTTGAGTCAGGTTGTGGCACTATGGTTATATGATAACCACTTTTCAGGTTCCATCCCCGAGTCTATTGGCAATTGTAGTAACCTGCAAGATCTTTATTTGGATTGGAATCATTTGATTGGTGTTTTGCCCCAGAGTCTTAACAATCTTGAAAATCTTGTGTATTTGGATGTTAGCAATAACAGTCTTCAGGGTATTATTCCTTTAGGTTCAGGGAGTTGCAGGAATTTGAGTATCCTAGATTTGTCATTCAATAGCTTTAGTGGGGTTCTTCCACCAAACTTGGCCAATTGCAGTGGCTTAATAGAGTTGGTTGCTGTGCACAGTAACTTGACAGGAGCCATTCCCCCTTCCTTAGGCCAACTACAGAAGCTTCAGAAACTTGACCTTTCTGAGAATCTTTTATCTGGGAAGATTCCCCCTCAACTCGGGAAATGCAAGTCCTTGAACAGACTATTGTTGTACAACAATCTACTGGAGGGGGAAATACCAAGTGAGTTGGGTATGCTAAGTGAATTGCAAGACCTCGAGTTGTTTTCCAACAGTTTGAGTGGTGAGATTCCAAAAAGCATTTGGAAAATACCAAGCTTAGAGTACCTCATTGTGTACCAGAACCATCTTGCTGGGGAGCTGCCTTCGGAGATAACCGAGCTCAGGCAACTCAAAAACATTTCATTGTTTGACAATCAGTTTTTTGGAGTCTTACCTCAAAGTTTGGGGATCAGTGCTAGCTTAGAGGAATTGGATTTAACAAACAACAGATTCACTGGTGAAATTCCACCAAATCTTTGCTTTAGGAAGCAGCTTCGGGTGCTGAATCTGGGTAAAAACCAGTTTAATGGTGGCATACCTTCTGGCATAGGAGGCTGCAATACTCTATGGAGACTAATCCTCGCACAGAATAATCTCACCGGGGTTCTTCCAGAGTTCGTAGAAAATCCAAATCTTTCCCACATGGACATCAGTGAAAATCAGATCACTGGTCAAATTCCCTCAACTTTGGGAAACTGTAGCAATCTCACATCAATTGATTTGTCCATGAATGAACTTGCAGGGTTTGTACCTCCAGAGCTGGGAAATCTTTCAAGCCTTCAGGTACTGAATCTGTCTCACAACAAACTGGAAGGTTCGTTGCCATCTCAGTTATCAAATTGCAAGAAATTAGAGAAGTTTGATGTGGGGTTCAATTCACTGAATGGTTCAGTCCCATCTGATTTGAGGAACTGGAAGCATTTATCAACTCTGATTTTAAGCGAAAACAAGTTTACTGGCGGCATTCCATCTTTCTTGTCAGAATTTGATGTGCTTTCAGAGCTACAACTTGGTGGAAACTGCTTTGGTGGTGAGATTCCCTCATCTATTGGGGCTTTGGAGAATTTGATATATGCCTTGAATCTCAGCAGTAATGGTTTGACTGGCCAAATTCCTCCGGAGCTAAGGATGTTGGTCATGCTAGAACGACTTGATATATCCAATAACAAGTTGACAGGAACTTTAGCAGCTCTTTATGGAATCCGTTCTTTCCTCAACATCAATGTTTCATACAATCTCTTCACTGGTCCAATACCAGGAACACTCATGAAATTTGTCAACTCGTCTCCATCATCTTTCTTTGGCAATCCTGGCCTGTGTATCAATTGTCTTCCTTCAGGTGGCTGGACTTGCACCGGAAATGGCTTTTTTAAACCCTGTGATCATGGTTTGGGAAGTCAGAAGAGCCTTAGTAAACTGCAAGTTGCAATGATATCCCTTGGTTCCTCACTAGCTGTTGTATCTGTGTTTCTTGTTGTGGGTTCCATGTGTCTCTTTTGCAGAAGAACAGAGGCAGGACCTGAGATCTCTGCCGAACAAGGTACGTCTTCCTTACTCAGCAAAGTGATGGAGGCCACTGAAAATTTAAATGACAGGCATATCATTGGTAGAGGGGCTCATGGAGTTATTTATAAGGCCTCCCTGAATCCAGGCGGCGATTTTGCTGTCAAAAAGGTTCAATTTACAGGGCACGAAGGAGGGAGCAAAAGTATGGTTAGAGAAATTCAAACCATAGGGAAAATCAGGCACCGGAATCTGGTCAGATTGGAGGACTTTTGGTTGGTAAAGGACTATGGTTTACTCTTATACAGGTACATGGAAAACGGGAGCCTTCATGATGTATTATATGAGGTAAATCCACCACCAACTCTAAGCTGGAAAGTCCGCTTCCAGATTGCACTTGGAACGGCCCATGGATTAGAGTATCTTCATCATGACTGCAATCCTGCTATAGTACACCGGGATATCAAACCCAAAAACATCCTTTTAGATGCCGATATGGAGCCTCATATCTCTGACTTTGGAATTGCTAAGCTTCTGAACAAGTCTGGCGGTGCAACATCCATTTTGGTTGCAGGCACAATTGGATATATCGCACCAGGTAATTATTCTTCTTTATAAATTGTTAATGACTACTTGGTATCATATACCTAAGTTTATAAGTTCTGCTGTGCAACAGAAAATGCATTTACCACAAGGAGGAGCAAGGAATCAGATGTGTACAGTTACGGGGTGGTGTTGCTTGAACTGATAACCAGAAAGAAGGCAGTGGATCCCTCATTCATGGGAGAAACAGACGTCGTGGGTTGGGTTCGGAGCCGCAGAGAAGTTAACAGAATTGTCGATTCAAACCTTGCAGATGAGCTGTTGGATTCGAATATTAGAGAAGAGGTTATTAATGTGCTTTCGGTGGCTATGAGATGTACTGAAAGGGAAGCCAGCAAGAGACCCACAATGAGAGATGTAGTGAGGCAATTGTTTTATGTTGCTGAGAAAAAGAAGTAAGGGTAGGTGTAGGGTGTAGTTTAAGTTGATTCCTGCTTCATTATTCCCTGAAATCCACATTCGAAAAGTTCCTTCTAATGTCTTTTTACCCTTGGAAAATAATTTCCTTCCAACAATTACAACGTGTTTGGATTGAGAGGGGAAAAAAAAACTGAAGGATTTTCCTCCAATGAAATGAAGATTTGGTCCCTGTTTTTAATTGGAGAAAAATCAAGTTAGATTACATGATACAATCACTAGCACATTAGAAAATTAATGAATACGAAAGAATAATAGATGGTTGGTTTCTCTTGGAAAAATAAAGCAATAAGCATTTACAAATCTCAAACTTCACTCAGTCGGATATATATTAGAAAGGAACAGGTGAAAAAAAGAAGAATGAGAATAGGAGAAAAAATGGAAGATCCTAACCATTCAGATGTCTACCTACAGAAATTTAGCATCATGGAGGAAAATTGAAAGAGGATAAAACTGAGAAAGAACAACAAAAAAAAGGAAAAAAAAACTCACATCAAGTAGGAGAGGGGAGAATGCCTTACTGTGTGAGTACATGGATTTTTCTTGGATATCTACTTTGGAATCAATATGCTAGACATTTACATAGGTAGAATGATAGACCTAGGAACTGCCGTGAGATCTGACAGATGAAATTGATTGTGCCGAGACTGAGGCTGTAGGGCTGCTAAGATCTCGATCGCCTTTTGGTTTTCCGCTCAACCTTTCTATTGCATCTTGACAAATGTCATTGAACCAGTCGTCCTCTGGCAGTACACTGAGAAGAGGAAGAAACGCTTCAATCACAAAATTATCAATTTCCCAAATCTAATCGAAGTTAAGAAATGAAAGGAATTTGAAAGAGTGGAGGTGAGGTCCCCTAGAAGATTCCCTAGTTGAGTCCCCTCTTCAAACCCAAGGTTCTTTAAAAAGAGGCAATCGGATATTCAGATGCCTCAGAGCAAATAACATGCACATCAATGCCAGGCTTAAAAGGGAACAAAACAATGCAAAGATCAAAATAGAGCTTCACAGTATATCATACATGGATGCACATTCTCAACCTCATTGTTCTTTTAAAATTTAAACCACTAACTCCAATTGAGTACTGATTTCAATCTGTAACATTGGTGACTCCTAGCTTCACATAAATTCCAATTCCCATTGGTTTTGATCAAAACACAAACCACGTTAAACCAAACAGGTAGAAAGGGAACTGATGATAGATGACTACATGAATTTACTCCCTTGACAAAATTCTCTTTGTGCTGAGCAAAAAAAAAACTAACTGCATGGCACAACAATGCTAAACCTCGAAACACTTCCAACTTAAACAACATCCTAAATAAATGCAATTTTGCTATCTTTACATGCTTTGATTTAATGCTATCAACAAGAACCAAATAGAATAGCAAACGCAAGAAAAGGCATAACAAAGTCACAACAAAGTCAGACGATGTTTGGCAGTCTTACTCATATTATAAGTTCCCTAGTTAAAACAACAATGAACTGGCTATCCAGACAATATGTATTTTATTTAGAATATGTGGAGTGATGGAAAGATTTGCAGAATATTTCCCTGAAGATATGCAGCTGGTTAGGGTTGAACAAATCAACTTTAAGTGCTGTAGATATGGTGGGAGGTAGGACCGGATTTAGAGGTCAACTAGGGTTCAAATCTATTTGAATTTGATAATGAAAAATGGACTGAATAGAAGGATCTAAGGAAATTTTAGAACATGACTTGGTAGGATTTGGTCAGAAACTATGTGGACGATATAGGATTTAGAAGTGCAAGAAAAATTTTGGCATATAGTCATTAGCCCATCAGGGAAAAAGACAGGTCATGAATGCTGTTCTGCTGCTGTATTCAGCCAAAGCAGATCAGAGAAGAAAGAGAAAAACATCCAGGCCATGATATGCAGACAATTTTCAGATCTTTGGACCCTGGTAGCCCAACTAAACAGTTTTCTGTGAGTGGTTTTCAAAATTTTTAAGACAGGAACTGAAAACTGAAAACCACGGCCCTACTAAATTGACCCAAAATTAGCCATCTAATAACTACCATTAAGACTTCCCTTGCACCAAAGGGCGTTTTTCCTATGACTAGCATATGAAAACATCAATCTGCCAGCATCCCTGAAAAGAAACTACCACAACATACCTGTATGGATCCATCCCTGTAGCAGCAAATGCTGAAACAGCTCTAGATATAATTTCCTTGACAACTCGATGCAAATTCCTTGACAAGTAGCGACCTTGGGAGGCAAAGCATATCACAAATTTCATATCCAAATAAAACTGCACATGCAGAGAGAAAATGTTTAATTAAAAATTCCAATACAAACGGAAAATGCAAGTAGCATGATTAAAGATGCATACCTGTTGTAGACCAAGTGAACCTAGTGGCCTTGGACCTTCCTCAATATCATCCCAAAAGCTTTGATCCTCTGAAAGCCATAAGATGACAGTTTCCGTCAGTCGCATCAACAGCAATGTAGCAAATCTTTCCCTTCCTACAAACATATCTGCTGCCAAACTAGACATTCTGTTCAACTTTGAATAGAGCTCCTGAATCGTAACATAACACCATGAGGACACAATCAGTACCAAATAGTCTAGAAGAAGACAAGTTTCAAATCACATTAGAATTTGGAAGTTTAGAGTAAAATCTTGAAGTTGAAATTGCAAACGTTAATTCTGTAAGAGAAGAGCTTTCAATGCAAATATATTTCCAGGCCTCTACCACAAGAACAAATCAGTCCACTAAAATGAAGCAACAATTACTGCCTTTTTCAGAAACACCATGGTGGGGGCCAATTATGAGAGGAAAGAAAGTGGGAAAGAACTTTGTGGAACCTTTACACCAACTCTGGCATTTTTATTCCCTTGAGACTAATCAGCATAGTTTAGGGGGTTAAGTAACACTTTTTGAAGCATGGGAGGCAAAGTACCAAAACCCCAAACTGCAAGGAAATATACAGTTTCCTCTAAAGATTAAGACAAAAATATAAAGTTTACAATGTTTTCAGACAGTCCTAATCATCTTTCATAACATGCAGGCCCACATACACCTGCCTTAATCTGCACCTAGAAAAGAGTAAAATAAGGTTTTGTTTGTAGTATTAGCATTTAGCTAACTTTCTGGTTTGATAAGGAAAGCAGAAGAAAGAAAGGGACTTAGTTTCAATCAGATTGTTATTTAATCAGAATCATATACATGCTCCAATAATATTACCCACTTGCAAAAGCAACCCAAATCTTGGGATCATGCAGCAAAGTCTCATCAGCAAAGATCTAAAATGCACAAGGGCAAGGAGATGGGGATGCAAGTACAGCTTTGTTGGATCAAGGCCATGAATAACCACTAAGGTTCTCCTCACCACTCGTATGTCCAATCTTCACCCCTACAACTAGCTCCACATCTTTTTTTTCTTCCTTGTCTTTCTCTTTTCCAGCTTTCCCACACTAACTGATTAATTTTCTAATTTGATTTTTCATTGTCAACATTTAATAACAAATAAAAGATTGTATTGCTGATTCTTGTTAGGGAAGGCCAGCCAAGAGTTTGGAATTGCAAAACATGAATTAACTGATAACTATGGTTATGTTAAAAGCAGAGAACATGAATTTTTCAAACATCACCTCGCTAGTTACATAAAGATAGGGTTATGGTTATCATGATCAATAACAAAAATAACAACTAAAAAGGTATAAATTCAATTATTAAAAATACCTGGAATATTGGAGATGGGAACCAATCAATTTCATCAACATTTCCATCCATGTTTATGTACATTTCTGCAGTAAGATGGCTATCTCCATCTTCTGTAAAAATGAGATCTAAGGCATGTTGCCGGCAAAGAGTATCTTTTAGTCTGTCCACTGAGTTTACAAGCCGCCTCTTCCATTCTCGTTGCTCTGGATGGCGGTTCTGCCTATCTGCAGGTCTTCTACGATGATCATCCTTGTAATTAGCTTGACTAGGCGGAGAGAGCTTCATAGCTGCACGTGGTAGCAGTTCATCTGCTAACAATGAGGCATTTGCTAGCAAAGCAATCTGCTGGGCTTCAGTCTCAGCCATTCGCACAATTTTATTTCCAGAATTATCAAAGTTTGCTTCCTCTTCCATTGAACCTGGTAATGCCTTTATGAGCATGTTCACATATGAGTTAAAAACTTGGAACAAACCTTCCAATGTTTGCCCTCCTAACTGCATGCTTAAAAGTGGTCCTACATCCTCAAAGAAATCCTACAAGAGGCAAGCAAAATGCAGGTAAATATGAAGCAGAGAATTGAATTACATCATTAAACAAAAAGGAAATCAAAGAAGGATCCTAGAATCCAATTAATAATCTTTCAACAATGATGACAGCCAAATAACTGCATAGCACATTAGTTATCCTGTATGAGCAACTACAAAAGTGGGAGACAACAGAAATGGTTTAGGGTATTAAGTTACAAAAGGAGCAATAAAATATGTGTACCATATTTACTAGTCTTTGCAGCCAAACGATTAGATATTGTAGCAGAGACATTTCAACTTCAACCAAAAGAAATCACAGATTGAAAGCCAATGTCACAACCAATCTTTTTCTCTTTGCTTTATTTTTGGGTATGATTTACAAGAAAAATGTTAAAGTTGAGCAAAAGATGCATGGTAACAGGTCATTTGGATGCACAGTGCTGAACTTGTATCACTGTAAATTCTCAACAAGAAACATGATATGTCCAGATATATGTTTAATCATACAGGATTAGAGAAAGTGTATTCAAGCCAAAGATAGGAGGTATACCTGGACCATCAAATTGAATCGATGAGCACTACTAGTCAGTTTATGCTGAAATGTTGTATTACTAATTGATGCAGTAGAAACCCTGCCAGATTGGCGACTTCCTGGTGGAGGGAAGGTAAGCACCCAATCATCAGCAGCAGCCAAAGCAGCAGTGCTTTCTTCAATGCGTTTTAGATTAGCATCTAATGCTTGCTCAACACTGGGCCTAAAAAGTTTCAGGAGGACAGGGCAAAGTGCCAGGCCACGAGCTTCCAACAATGAACAATGACCTAAAGCTATTTGAACACATTCTGCAGCAGACCTTAAACCTCCAGCAGCTGCTGAAGAGGCTAATGCGTGTCTTTTAACAAGAAGGGCAAATGCCTCTGTCTGCTTTGTGGCCCACATTACAAGCTCAGAGGTATAAGCTGGTTCCTTACCAAAAATAGTCAGTGAATCACTAGCTGCCTGAGCAATAGCGGAAAAAACCAACTGTGAGAGGGCAGCAGTATAAGCTCCTCCATATGAAGTGCTTGAAGGACGAAGGCTCTGCATGTTATACTGATATCTCTGATAATATGCGTTAAGAAGCAAACTATGAGCACGAGGGCCATCCCCAAGCTTTTTAAGAGCTGATATGGCTGCACGAAGTTCACCACCACGGGTAGAAGGTTGACATGCAGCTTCAGCAAGCTGGTCAGCTAACTTTTGTCTGTGTTCTATGATTGCAGTCTGTAGGGACATAAGTGCAGTGGGATTCAATGAATTCGTTTCTTTTGCTTCAGCAGCTACGCGCTCTCCTTCGTCAAGGGATGCAAGAGCTTCGTCCACTCTCCTCTCAGCTAATAGAACATCCAAGAGATCAGGAAATTCAGCTGACCATTTCTCCAGATCTGAAGGTTCTCTATCTTCTAAGGCTAATAAGCCATTGGCAGTAGAATCTTCAGAACCTCTAGCAGACAAGGAATCTATATGGACTCCCTCAGCTAAACCATGAATTAGTGTTGCTTGAGTAGACAGCAGGTTTCTTATGGACGAGAGCTCGCCCTCTAAATCTGATATCTCTTTTGAAGTACTGCAAGAAATAGGATTATCTGAGAATTCAAATCCATTGACAGCACCCAGGAAGTTAACTCATAAAAAGGTATGTTTATAGTCTGAGAAGCTTAAAGTACTAAAATTTCAACTTAATCCCATTTCCACATACCGTATAAAGGCAGAATAATTAGCATATACACTTTTTCGCATTTCTTCAGCAGAAGCTTTCTTCAAATCCAATAGATAGGAGCACAATTGCCTTACATCCTGTTATAGAGATGTTGCAGCTTTATCAAAAGGCATAAAATATAACAATTGCAAGTCATGTGGAGAAATTTAACATTCATCCATGTCCAGTTTCTGGAGTTGGCAATTCTCTGCGCCATGAGAAGTCGCAAACAAGGAAATATACAATGCGTCCTCATGAAGAAAGTTACAACTCACAAATAGCCTAACAGATATAGGGTCAATTGTATTGGAATCATGATTTCAGCACCTAAAAGGTGCAGCTAAGATTATTTAAATCAGGATCAAAAGGTGGAAGAAAAATCCAATTACTTGGAGAGGATCATGCAATTTCTTGGAATGATTCGAAGCACAAAATTAAGCTTTTGCAATAGTAAAATCCTCCGACAATTACAAAAAAATCGAATTCGAGAACGAAAATGGAAAATTATATAGTATGCAATTGCGAAAGAATTTGAAAGGAGTAGAGTGGAACCTTCTCACTTAGCGAACACTTAGACTGCACAAAGGCATCGGCGTCGAACTTATCGGACTTGAAGACGCTGAGGCCTTCCTCGATTTTGGTGCCGTTCTCCTTGGCAGAAATGGCTCTAGGACGAGCCGCTTTTGCCGACGCCATGGCCAAGAAGGAGAATAGATCGAGGTAAAAGGCAGGTCTTGGATTGAAAACTGGAAGGAAGACGGATCTGAGAATGGAGTCCGGCGATGGAGAGGAAAAGTTGGTAGAGGAAAGAAGAAACAGAGAAGAGAGACAACACGGCAGCTGCAACAAGACCTGTACTAGACTTTTCAATTTGGGCTGGGACCTGACCTGGAAGTCCACTTGACTGTCAAATCTCAATTACCAACATTAGACTGTGGTAAAAGTGAAGAGAGAAATTGGAAAATCATTATATATATATATGTTTTTTAATATATTGTAATTATTTATAAATTAATTAAAAATAAAAAAAAAAGTTTTGTAAGGTTCAAATGTGCAAGTAAAAAACGTATACAATCCTAACTCAAGTCTTATCTTATTGGTTCAAAACGGGTCGTTAAAAAAATTATGATATTTTAGTATGAAAAACATTTGAATGTTTAATTATAATTATTAGATATGTAATACATAATATATATTGTAATTTTATTAAATTTATTATATAATTATTATTAAATATTTTGATATTAAAAATATCAAAATATTTTAATTTTTTCTTTTCTCAAGTGAAAAATAAAAATAAAAAACAAAACAAAAGAATGGGCAGTGGAAACTGGGAAGTATAGACCAGAGAGACAAGGGTGTAATTTTTTTTTTTTTTTTTAACATGGCTTAGATTCTTTCCTTCCTAAAAACTTATAATTTTGAAAATTTTAAGTTAATAACTATTGATTTAGATAAACTCTTGTGGGTAGACATTAGGTGCTCTTTCTATTCCTTTTCAACAACTATTTCTTGGTGAAAAAATGTGAGAACTTGGAATTTAGAAGGAATTAGCCTTGACCCAATGATTTACAACTCGAGTCCAAGAGCTTGGAAGTACTAAGTTAAGAGTTCAACTCATAGTAAACTTTTGTTTTTGATCCAAAATAATATATTTTTTTTTATAGATTTAAATTATATTTTATTTTGATTTATGAATTTAGTACGTATAGTACCTACAAATTATAATCCAAATCATATCTAAAATGGCTGCTTTTATTCTTACCTTACTCATTTGGAACTACTCTTCTTAGCTCATTTTTCTAGAGTTGAACAACAAAAATAATCATGACATTCATATTTCATACATAAAAAGATGGCCAAATTTGGGGATTTACAAGGGGAAAAAAAAGTTACTTACAAAAGAGCTTAATATTATGTTAATAATTTGAATGGTTTAAAGGTAATATCATTTTTAAGTAAAATTATTAATTTTAAATTTAAATATTAAATATGTCAAAAGAGGTAGTTAAAAGATAAAAGAAAGTATTTTTACCTTACGTTGTCAAAAAAGGAGAAAGAAAAATTGGTGTTTAAACTTTGCCAAAGTAGTCAACACACTTTTGTTATTTTCGGTACATCTACTTCCAAAGTTCCAATGGGAGATTTTAACTTGTAAGCAAAGGTTTTGAATTACATTTTGTTCTGGAACGGGAAGAAATGGGCCTTGAAGTCATATAGTATTTCATGTTTATTAATTATTCTTTTTGGCCTCCTTTTTATGTTTATTAATTGCAACGGAAGTTGTTCATGTTTGGAGTTTGGACTAGCTATGACGGAATTTTGCAAATCCTTTGTTAAATGCATGCGGGACCCCATCTCTCAATTCTTATTGCTTGTTGGTGGAAACTTTGGAATTCTATTTTTATGCCATTTTGTCGCTTCAAAAATGATGACTTGGCAGGTTCATTATTCATGTTTTTAATAATGATATATATTATATAATAACTATATAACATAAAATAATGCTTCATTTCACCAAATCCTTCTCTATATTTATCCCAAAGTTGAAATTTAAAACCTATTCTTTAATATTTAACCATTAGCCATAAGGACATCGTAAGAGACATAATTTGCACAAATCAATTGATGACTTGGCAGGTTCATTATTCATGTTTTTAATAATGATATATATTATATAATAACTATATAACATAAAATAATGCTTCATTTCACCAAATCCTTCTCTATATTTATCCCAAAGTTGAAATTTAAAACCTATTCTTTAATATTTAACCATTAGCCATAAGGACATCGTAAGAGACATAATTTGCACAAATCAATTGTTTTTTAAATCCAGTTTCACACTATAAGTTAAGCCCACAAAATTCAAATGATTAACTATTGCCAGCAATATTCTTTTCTTCTGTAAATGATTCCAATCCAAGTGCGTTATGTTATGTAGTAAGTTGTTTCCACATGTGATTTGTCGGTAGATTTTCGAATTTTATCACTCTGCTTTATGATTCCTCATTGTGTAGTTGCAAAGAACTACAAAGTCTTCTCTTGTTTAAATCTTCTTTTCAGATAACCTGCAAAGTCTTGAGATTAGTTTTTGGGGTAAACATTCTAATACCTAAATGAGTAATACTCAAGTTTAGAATAAGACACAAGAATTAAGTTTGAGATCAGTTTCAATTATCTTTTGAAAAAGAAATCAATTTCAATTATCTTTTGAAAATGACTCTTTGGAACCAAGATCATATGTGTTAACTATTATAGAAATCTATTATAAAAAATCTGAACATGTATAGAGTTACTGTAAAGCAAATATAGAGGGGATGAACTCGACCTCAACTGAGCTCATTACACTTTAAGTGACGTTTAAGGTCCCTCAAAGTCATATCGTTTGAAATAGTTTAACTTGTCTGAGGTCATCTACCTCGGACTACCATCATCACACATTGCCTTTTATTTTCTTTATAAAAAAGACTAGTCCACCTAGATGCTCACAGCTTAATCCAATGTGTGTGCAAATTACATGTGCAGAGACTAAACCAAAAAGCTACTGGGTTTTTAGTTTTGCATATGGAGTTATGGACGAATTTTCCTAGGCAAGTCTTCAACGCTGAATCCTAGTTTATGAGGAATAACGTTTTATATATTTGTGAAAATTTGTCATGTGAGACTAAACATAAGAGGTGGGTGAATTGATAATATATCGAATATTATTTTTTGTATTTATTATGTTTGGTTTGAGAATTTTATTCCTAAAGTTATTATTAATAAAAAAAATAAAAATTAATCAATAAATTAGAGAGAATACCTGCCAATTAGTCTATGTGGCTGGTGGTTTTATGTTAGATTACATAATGTGTTTGGTTGGATGGACCATACGGTGCATACCAAAAGGTTTGTGTGAAATTATTAGCCATTTGCTAGGCTGACAACTCAGAATCAGAAGGCAATGAATGGAGTGCTCTCTGTCTCTCTTGTGGCTGTGGCTTTGTATTATTATTATTATTATTTAATGATGTTGAATAGATTAAAATTTGAGATTAAAATTTAAAATTAATGATACAATATAAGTTATATTATTTAAAATATTAAAATAAAAATTATATATTATTTAATAATTATTTTTTTATTTTTTCAAGACTTATGATATTATATATGTCAACTAATTTAATCACATGATTTATATCATGTCATTAATTCTAAATTTTTTTTTCCAGGCATTACTCTTATTTTTATTATGGGAGGTTTTAATTTTTTTTTTTTAATGGGAAGTGGAAACATTATTCAAGTTATTGGGCCAGTTTAAATGATTATGGACCATTTTTTGGGCCCTAATATTATGGCAGGATATTGAGTTGCAGCTGTAACTTCTATTTATTTATTTTAACCAAGGCATCTGGTAACTTTGAATTGAAGCAACTACTATCTTTTTTCATGGTAAAAATTTTTTGATGAACATTTTTCCATGGTAAATTCAAGTTTGGTCAGATGAGTTTGATATTTTACAATCCGAGCAGTAGACAAAATTATGAATTCAAGTTGAAAAAAGACAAAAATACTATTACTAACATATGTCTCTATTTCATTAACGATATTTTTATCTTTTTTTAATCTCAAAATCTAAATGCTAATAGATTTTTTTCATATTCAGATGTGGTGATGCTATAATTACAATATTATATAGAATTATAAACTTATAATTTTACATTGTATTAAATGAAATATGATATAATATTAAATGAGTGAATACATATAATATTATGGATAAACTCTTAAATGAAAAGAATTAATTATATAATGACACATTATATTGTAAATTTACAATGTCATGTAATATTTTAATTATAATATTTTTAATTCAGATATTATTGTTACCTCTAAAATCCTCCTAATTCACACGTATGTAGTAAAAACGCACAAGCATGGCACTTGTTTTATTTTGTAATAAAGAATGATTGTGCTGCTAACGACCTAAATAACTCAATGGTTATTTCTTTTCGTTAGAAATAAGAGATTCTGAATTTAAATCGCATAACATGCGAGTGAAGTGAGATAAATGATAAGAAATGATTACCTCTCATTGTATGTATAACTAAGAAAAAAAACAAAAGAAGAAGAATGATCGTGCTGGTGGTGACCCTTACCCTTCTTAAGCGGAAGAGTCTATTGAAAGGTCGATGGGACTTTACCAAAAATAGACAGGTCAATAGAAAAGTGGGAGTTAAAGTGCTGGGATCAGACAACTTAGACGCAACTTTAGCGTAGACGTAAAATGTGTGGAAGACATGCAAACTAGCAGAACGTTAAATTAAAGCTTTGCTGAGACTTGAATTGATTGAATGCTTTAAATTGAAAACATAATAAAGAAGCTGTCCGTGTTGGAATAAACCTGGAAGAAACGATACTTTGAAACAACAGAAGTGGATTACTAACTTGAAACTGAAGTTCGAAAGCTAAAGAGAGCTTGTTAGGGTTAAGATTTTTAAGAAATTTTGTATTGAGAGGTGCATGCATGCTTAAAATGCACGGTAGGTATTAAGTAAACGGATTGTGACGTCCCACCCTGAAGAAATTATAGCTTAAAAAACTCTATATGGTACTAGCTAGATAAAAGCTTTTAACTGAGCAAGATTTAACACCTGCACCAGCCTGGGCTTGGATTGGATGAATGCTAAATCACATATGAGCATACTGCTCACCTTTACAAGGCACAAGGATTGGAAGAATTACAAAATTGCTAGCTAGCTAGATATAGGTAAACAAACAGATTATATCGTCCCTGACTACAGATAATTTTGTTATTCACCCAATCATAAAAATGTGCACACTTTGACAATGAACAATTTTATAAGAACAAAGTCTTGCCTCACAACAGACAACATATTGACTGAAAGCTATAACATTTATACCCCTATTGAAGAATATCTTAAAAAGATCATCTTAAACAAGCTTTATCTAGATTCTAGGATACTTCACATCCAAATAAGTATGAGCAACCAAATTTTACCTGTCCATTTACTTGCCCAAAATGACTTGACAGAGGTAAATGGGGAGGAACAATAAACCTCATAAAGGCCAGGACAAGGAATTGACTCCAACACTCTTTTCAAAGTTCATTCAAAGAGAGGGAGGGGGGCAGGGGGGATCAGCAAAAACATGAATAAGCCAAGTGGTTCTTCTTTGCAACATAAGGAGAGATGTAATTGGTGATTCGGACAGAGGTACCAGAGATATCAGCCGGAACAATGATTTGATCCTTCCCTGAAGCTATTCTTTTTCCAGCTACATTGGCATAAAACAGGCCAGAGATGGCTGGTACAAAAATGTCACTCTGAGAACACATGTAGAAGTCAATAACCTTTTCAAGTTCTGAATTTTCTGAATCAAGGAACTTGGACTTTTTATCTGCAGGCAATATGCTTTCCTGCAATTCCAAGGGCAAACAAGAATTTAGTATAATAGCATTTATTCAAAACATCAAAGTTCGGATTAAGGACAGAAATGCAAGGGTTTTGTTTCTTTTTTTGATCACCAAAGACTGAGATACTAAAAGTAACAATATTTGCATTCAAGCAATTAAGCATTCTATTTGAGGACTAATGTGCCCAACCAAGGACTTCAGAGAATACTATAGGTTCAATTTGGGTTGTCAAATTTAAGCATTTCATGCAAGAATTCACATGACACATGGTAAAATTTCCCAAATTGAACTTGATATGCCTTAACTAGTAGAATGGCTATAAACTAAAAGAAATAATTTCCTCACCTTTGTATATGTTTTAGGAAAGATATCCTTCAGGATATCAAGGCTATCATCCCATCTTGATTGAGTCACATAGATAGTTGTATCCTTGTCAAAGCCAACCTTCCTCAAAAATAGAGCAATCTCCTGCGCATTGTAACAACTTTTTGTTCCAGAAGCACCACTTCCATGACAATTCTTATTTTCCAGTATCTCAACCCTCAAGTCTACTGCTATAAACTTGCCATCTGACTTGCGGCTCAAAGTTCTAAGCCGTTCAATCATTGAATCAACAACTTCACTAACCTCTGATTGCAACTCCAAGGTTCCAAACATCGCCATACATGCAACTGTATCAATGGTACTCTTTTGTGCAGTTTTCCTCATATTTACTGTGGGAAAGTAGGTAGCCAACCTTATGTGGTTCTTCTCTTTGAATACTGGTTCTACATTCTCTACAATGTGGTCTTCAGTGACTCGATTGGGAACCTTCACAACAGCAAGATTTCTGATGGAAATATCACTAGGTAATTCTTTTGCCACTTTGACAACACCGTCCAGGCTTTTCACGAACTTCTCAGCATCATAAATATCTTCAAAGTTCCTGAAATTTTCCATTTACGTTAGTGCCTACCAGAAATTTTTGGCTGTATGTTCTAAACACTTCTCAACCAAGGTTCATCATTAGGTTACTATAGAGTATAGGGCAAATAAAAAAGCATCCTCACTGAGGTCCCAGCAAACCATGGGCTGTTAAACACTTCTAAAGAGTAGTTGATTGAGGCAAATGACAGAACCTGACTGATGCAACCCAAGCATTATGCTTAACAAATATTTCTAAGCATAATGAGATTTATTACAAGCTTAGAACAATGTCTCACATATGGTGAGTTAAAGTGCAAATGCAACCAAAAGAGACTTGAAATGATAAAGGATATCCTCTTAAGAGTATTCTAAAAACCATTTCAAAAATCCATTTATTAGAGACTAATCTTCAAAAAATTTGTATCCTGAATTAATTCAGAGAGACAAAAAGAGGAATAAAAACTCCCTGCTCAAACATAACTGAAACAACAAAATACTGTAAATTTTATTTTATTTTTAAAAATATTCTGTCTTTAACCAGGTAGACCAATTGGACTCCGAGAATAGTTCAATTGGACATAAAATGACTGCTTCACCATCAGAAACAGTGTTTCGTAAGAACAGGAGCACTAACCATTTATCCCCTGGGTTGCTTCCTCTAATGTCAGGGACCACAAGAGTTGCTCCAAGATATCTTGCCACTACAACAGCATCGGCAATCTGAAGAATACACTCATTTGATCATTTTCTACAGCAAACTTGCTATAATAAACTATTTAATTATTTAAGAAAGCACACGTACACACACACACACACACAGATAGATTCATCAACTTAGTTTACAGGATAGACAAAAGCTACAACTTGGAAAAGGGTACAGCAGGATGAATAAATTGGCATTGCTCTAAGAGAGACTCGCTTCAGTGGGAGCATGACTGGGCAATGACCCTTTGAAAACCGTAACAATAATGGTAGATCCCATCCATTAAAGAATCACTGGCACCTCAAATGGACTTAAATAATAACCAGATTACAAGTTATGCATACCTGTGAGACATGGTATTCGGGACCATTAGTCAAGGAGAAAGTAACAAATCCTTTGGACTGTTCTACCTCATCTGCAAGCAAAATAATCAAAAAGAAACATCCCTTTATGCTCATATAAGCACACAAATATCAAGGCAAAGAAGCCAGTATTGAAGCATGCGTAATATGGTTTGCAATTTTTGCATCGATCAAGTTAACTAACCCAATGCTGTCTTGGTCCAACAGGGTTTTAGGAGTTCACCATCGCGAATCCAAGGCCCTTTGCTTCTCTTGGCAAGCCTAACAAGGCCATCCTGCTCTATGAGTCTTGAACTTTCAAACTGAGCATCCTGATCTTCTCCTGGGAGTTTTTCCTATACAAAAGAAGAGAGAATGTAAATCACTAGCAATCCCCATTAACCTATTACAGCTTTCAAGGTTAGATTTTTACTATTTCAATAAAATAAAGAAAAGAAATCCAAGAAAGAAACAATTTTTCTTGGTTTTTAGAAGGAGAAAACAAAAACCCACTTTTGCTTTGTTGACTAGAGTTCAATCCATACCATTTGAAGATGGTAGAAAGATCAGATTTGTTTCATGGAAGTAGAGATTTGATGGGTATGGAAGCTTGAGATTGAGGGTATATAATTTTAAGAAACGAAAAATGGGAAATGAAGTAGATCAGAAGAAAACTGAATAAGATGCAGATGCAGATGCAGATGCAGATGCAGTGAGGCAAATAGCGAATGTGGGGGATCAACATAGAAGAAGAATCATAGTAATTGAAATGAAAGGCAAAAGAGAGAGAGAAAGGCTTACTTACATGAAGAGAATCAAAGTGTTCTCTCTTAATCATGTTACCAAGCATGACAAACATGGTGAGGGTGAGCACACCAGCCACCACTTGCCTTAAATCTAAACCCATTTTCCTCTCCTCTTTCTCTGCAAAATAAACTCACAGGCCCTGAAACAGGAGCAGCAATAGCAATTTGGATAATAAATGAGTACAAAGAGAAGAAAGAGAGCTCAGATAGAGAGAAGCATATGCTCTGCTAAAACTCTATGAAGAGGCTGCTGGTTTTTACTTACACTTACGCCACCGACACTACTGCCCTGAAAACGATTGGCTGGAATGGGCAGGGCAGGGCAGGGCAGGGGCGGGGCAGATCCATTATTTATTTATTTATTTTATGAGTTCTTTTAAAAAATCTTTAAAAATAAAAAATAGTATTTAATTTATTAATTATTTAATTAAATTTATACAAAACTAAATTAATATTTATTTTTAAATTTTTTATATAAATTTATTATAAAAAATAATTTTAACTTATGTAGTAAATTTATAAATTAAAAAAATCTTTATTTTATTAACAAAACCAGTAGAACACCCAACCTAATCATCTATCTGATTTTACTATTTTACCCTTTTCTAATGCGACAAAAACATGGAAAGAAAGAAAATTCTATTTTTCTATCAATAGATATGATTTTTGATTTGTGACCATCTAATTCTTATAATAAATCTTACAATATCTATATAAAATCAAACAATAAATATGTGTAATAACATTTGAATAAAAGAATTAATAAAAATTATTTCATGTTATATTATACAATTTTATTGTTAAGTAATATTATCAACAAATCACTTTTTTTTTTCACTAAGAAAAACTTGCATCCCCATTCTCCAGTCGGTAGCTACAGTGAACGATACTGCATTAAAAAAAAAAAAGGGAATTCCTTTTATGGCAATATTTTATTTTCTTATAAACTAATATTAATTAAAGAGAAAGATATTTAAGTAATGCATTCCTTCCATCTTTAACAAAAAATAAAATAAAATAAAAACAGAATTAAAAAAATGTTTTTTAGGTTGAATTCCACAAAAAAATTATAGTTGTAGTTATAAAAGTGAAGCAATAATATGTAGATAATTTTTGTATACAATTTTTAAATATTATTAAATAAATAAATATAATATTATAAAATTTAATAAAATAAAATTTTACATTAAAATATTTTTCAATCATTGTTCATAAAAATATCAAAACACCAATCTTATTTATTAAAAACATTTAAATACTTTCCATAAAAAAAAATTAAATACTATTACAGCACAAATTGCATATAATTTGAACCGGGGAAATTTTGTTAATTAAATTAATTTTAAATGATATCATTTTTATAAATTTTGATGCATTTTTAGTTCATTTGTTAAAAAATAAGTAAATAAAAATCGGATGAGGTTGATAAAGCATTTTCGCGGGTTTTGTTGTGAAGGCATCAATTATCGCCTATAATTCAGTGACAGTGAATTGTGAATTGTGATTTGTGAATCCTTTGGTAAGAAGTGGGAGAACTCTTTATCCCAAAAAAAAAAGTTGGAGAACTGGCACAATCTGATGTGACCCAAACCAATTGTTTTTTTTATTTTTTTGTTAAATCTTTAATTTGACACCTCAACTATTATATAAGTTTTCGATTTGGTTTTTAAACTAAAAAAATATCTAATTTGATCCATATTATTTACCAATTTAACATTAAGTTGGTTCTTTCATATGAAACTAGATGATGTGTTTCATTATTAATATGATACATAACAATTAAGTAATGATTTTTTATTACTAAGTAATGAATATGTCAATTATATTTTAATAGAAAGATTAACTTAGGACTAAATTAATAGCAATATGGATCAAATCAGGGGTACGTAAAAATAGTTAAGAGATCAAATTGAG